GTGGCTTGGGCTCCTTAAAAATTTCCTTAGGCAACAGCCTTGGATATCATGAGCAAGAAAGTCTTCGAGTGAGTGAATTAGTGGTATGATATTATGAAGGAATAAATACTCGTTTTCTTTGGCCATCGTAGCTTGATAAGAAATAACACGCAAACTGCGGTGATGAACATGACAATAAAACACATGTTAAAAAACAAAGTCATTTACTTCAAACATATGAAACATCAAGTAAATGAACTTTGTCTTTTAACATGCGTTTTATTGTCATGTTTATCACCACAGTTTGCGTGTTATTTCTTATGAAGGAATAAATAAAAGGACATCAGGCTCTTAGCATTTATTACAGAAGTAGAATTCTACTGCAGGTGGCACATGCATGGCTTTATCATTCCATCCAAGATGACATTACACAAGCCATATTAGAAACGTGATGAAGAAAATGTAAATGTGAAACAAAACCTAAAAACCAAAAGGCTTGTAAGCCAACTCGTGATATTTGTGAAACAGACACGTTTCATGCAATACATATGACAAGGGAGATCAAAAAGATTTTGAGGCATTTGTGTCTTAAATGACACAAAAAAAATCGTCACAATTATTGATTTACAAATAATCATTAGGCAGATTCAGGTGGAACACTTGAGCTGTTTTGATTGTAGACTGTTCACAGTCCCCTATTTTTCCGTGAGATCGTAGATGTCGATCGTTGAGCTCGANCTGTGAACAGTCTATTTTGATTGTTACTACTACACTACTGTATATGGAAAACTCCCACATAATCCAAGAGAGTTGGTACTGATGAATTTTTCAGATAGTCATCTGGGTTTGGGTTTGATTTTTCTCATATAAACACCCCCTCAGCTATTATTGTGCAGTAGCTGTTGGTTGTCTACAAAATGGCAACATTTTATTGTTTTGGAAAATTTTAGAGGAACATATTGATACAAATGGATAATTAAATTACTGAGAAGATTAAAAGAAGACATTCATTGTTTTATGACAGAGTTGAGCATGTGTACACTGCTGCAATTTCAAATGACAGTTCAGTCTACACTATTAATCTAAATAGTTAAGTTCAATGCTACATAGAGAGATAAATAGAAACTGTTATTTGAAGTAAACTTCATTTAGAATTCTACTAAAGCAAGAGATTATTCACTCCTGATTTCTATGACATTACAGTTGATTTGGCCTTCGGCCTCATCCATTATGACCTTTTAGAAATTGAGAACAAAATTAATAATTGCGTTTGACGAAGTGGAATGCAAACCTAATTTTGACCTGTGGCTTTCCAGAGTTGGTTTACCTGTACACGGTTATAGGCCAAAAAAACCACATTCCTGTAAGGACACCAAAATGGCCACCCCGCTTGATTTTTGCAGGGGTATGTCATAGTTGGTAAACTGGTACCATTAATGCTAAGACATGTGATAAGACATGTGGCAAACATGTGAGTATGTGAGCAGGCCATGTGAGCTCATCTTTCTGATGGATCTTTCTTTGACTTCTTTCCATTCAGTCGCTGTACGCTTCGCTATTATGTGCTCTCAGCGTTAGATTTTGGCGAATTTTTAACGCTTCAACGGTAGCATTTATCGAAATCTGAGGGAATTGTCCTTGTTTATTAACACGACTTGGCTTTGGGATGATAACCGTTGAACAGCTACATTTTGATTGCATTTGTTGATTAGTTCCAGTCGCGACAGATAGCTCAGTCTTTATCTGGTCGAAATTTATTGTTTGGGATCAGTGGAAAAGTACTCTGAAGGCAAGATCCATAAGACTACTTTCTTCATCAGGGGAAATACTCGAATTAGTCGCACGGAGTTTGTTTACAATAAACGACCACATGAAAGGAGCACTTGATTACAAATGCTAGCTTAGAATAATGTACGTGATTTAAATATCCTATGAAACTTGAGAGTCTACAGAAACTGGCGGCATCACGCAACGTATCAGCAAATCGTGACCTCCTCACTAGCATGGACTTTGACACCATGCATACATGTATCTGACTGTAAAACCTCGGTTGCTGCTGAAAAAATTTGATTTTAGCATTAGACAAAGGTTCAAAGTCAGCTAGTGAAATCATTTATTTACGATATATATATATTAAAGTGAGAGCGTCGAACGCACTCTCATAATCTCTGATTACTACTAGTCTTATTTTTAATTCTAGTATAGATCATTAGAAATTGATAAACGCACTCTTGTTCTGCTGGTGCATCCGGTAGCATTTTTCGTAGACCTCAAGTGCACATGATTATTTTCTTAGGGAATACAACACACCATTTTATATTGTCAGTAACTGCTACAGTAATGAAACATTTATAGCTGTTCTTCCTTTGATATCTTTTAAAACACTTAGTAGAGGTGATGGTTCACAACAAGTTCCACCTTGTTTTACACTGAAGAAACTTCTGTTAGCACACAACAAGTCCTTATGCCACTGTAGTGTTTCACGGTCAATGAAACGTCTGGATTTAAACGAAATAAGTGCACGCAATACAGATTCAACTCAACACTTGACCATGTACTTTTAATCATACCATAATTCATTTCGGCCATACACGATTACATCATCGATACCACAATCTCTCCCTTTTTCAAATAAATTGTCCAGTCCAATTTCTTAATTAAACAAAATAACAATACATACTATAACCTTTTCGAAATGGCTACTGACTCAAAGAAAAGTGCTCCAATGTCCAGGACGTAAATCTATACAAAAATGGCATACTTATGACGGTGCAATGTCCTTCTCAAGAAATGTCCATCATGTAAACAAGTCTTAAGGGAGTTCATAATCTTTTAGCCTCTCAGGTTGCCAGTTGCCCCTGGGCCGTGACGTGTAATGCTGAGTTGAAACTCTTGATTCCTCTTCCTGACTAGTTTCTGGGTCTAAATAATATTCATTTAGGATTGCTGACTGCTGTTTCTTGTGATTTATCCTCCTCATACTTCTGTAGGTGAGTAACATTTCTTTTGTAAGAGGACGCCAGCAGGAGACTTCATTTCCACATAACCTCCTTGTTTGTTGACCACCTCATAGGGTGTGGCTTCAAATATTGGTTACAGCTTGTCTGACTTCGGTTTCTGAAGAAGAACTTTATCTCCTTTCAGGTTAGAATCACGAGCACCTCTCAAATTATCAGTATAGTCTTTACCCTTTTGCTTTCTTTTAGGATCTCTGTCCAAAACTTCACTGTCATTACTAGCTGAGGGCAACTCTTCCAAACCTGGGAGCTTTGAGCAAATCTCTCTTGCAGATAACAATTTACCAAGACTCACTCCAGTAGTTGTATGTGGTGTGCTTCTGTAACCGAGCAAGAATTTCTGCAATTACATTCGCCAGTGCTAGATTTTTAGCACAGAGGGCCACTAGTTAAGCAGTTTATACTGTCATATGTCACCCTCTCTAATTAAAGTTGATTGATTGGGTCACATCCCTTGCTGTGCGCAACCCACGTAGCTTTCAGCAGACTCCTATTTTGTCTCTCTATCTCACCATTGGCTTGTGGCCACAATGGGGTTGATGTTCTGTGTTCGATGTTGTTGTCTTTGAGGTAGGCTTCAAATTCTTCTGACACAAATTGTGGACCATTGTCTGTTTTTATTGACACAGGTAGTCCATGAGTAGCTAACATTGCTTCCAGACAGCTAATTATTTTGCCAGATGTCACTGATTTGGTTACAGTTACTTCAAAGAATGGACTAAAATAATCAACAACCACCAGTAGAAATTCACTCATTGGAAGGGGTCGTAGCAGCTCTGCTGCGAGGTTTTGCTATGGCTGTGTAGGCAATTCTGTTCTCTTCATTGATCCTGGGGGCAATGGTTTACCAACAAGCTGGCAACCATGACATGTTCTGCACCTCTATTCTGCTTGACGGTCTATACTGGGCCAACATACCTCGGTACGGAGTCTTTGCTTGGTCTTAACAATCCCCTGATGGCCTTCATGTGCCAGATCCAGTACTTGCCTGCAAAGTTTCTTCAGAATGACTAATCTTGTTCCTCCCTAAACTATCTTTCCTAGCACAGTTAACTTGTTTCTCACAGCTTTAAAGCTGTTTCACCAGCAGTCCAATCATTGGTCTGAACACACTTCCTTGACACTGCAATTTCTTCATCTTCAGCAGATGCTTCTTCGATTTCCTGGATAGGTATAGCTCTGGGGGCTGCATTCTCTACAACATACTGAATGTATTCTTCTGCCACATTTTTGCTTTCATTTGAAACTTCTTGGGTTAGGGGAGACAAGCATCAGGTGTGTTCTGTGGGCCTGAACGATACATCACTGTGAACTCATGGCTGAGGTCATAAGACCCATCGTTCAATTCTCGCAGAAGGCTGAGATTTACTTGAATAGATCAAGTGGTTCGTGATCAGTTTCTAACTCCAATGTTTTCCATATAGATAAGCATGAAACCTTTCACATGTCCAGACTAAAGCTAGAGCTTCTCATTCTGTTTGAGAATATCTTCTTTCAACTGCCGTTAGCCTTCTGCTTGCGTAGAATACTGGTCTCCATTTGCCATTTTGCTCTTGAACAAGAACAGCACCTAGTCCTACCTGACTTGCATCAGCAATGACTCTTGTTTTGGCATCCTTGTTAAGTAGGCTAATGTTTCAGCACTTGCTAGTGTTTCCTTCAGATCTTTGAACGCTTCTTGTTGTTTCTCATCCCATTTGAATATTACACCTTTTTGTGTCAGCTGTCAAAGTGGTTCTGCAGCTGTGGCCAGATTTGGAATGAATTTTGCACTGGAATTCACAACTCCCATAAAACTTCTCACTTCTGCTACAGACTCAGGTTCTCTGGCATGGGCTACTGCTTCAACTTTGGATTTTGTCAGTCCAATACCACGTGTGGACAAGAGATATCTCGTGAATTCTAGCTGGGGCATCTTAAACTTGCTTTTCTCACCATTCAAGGTCAAACAATTTTAGTATTTGAAAACAGCAAAATTGAAGATTTGTCATGGAAGAAAAAGCCAGCTCGTTGTTGCGTGTCGAGTTGTGACCAAATCATGTTGCGATTTGACAGTTACGTTTTGCAGTTTCATCTCACATCTGATTGGTCGCGAAACAATAAACATTCCAGAAATTTTCTCTGGTGTTCACAGTTTTACAGGAAAGATTGTAGCCACTTTTTTCTGACTGCATGACGTTTAGCTGTCTTACTGGGAACAGTTCCATTGAAGATCTAATAAATTAAGCTACTGTTCGAATTGTTAAAATCACGTCTTGATAAAATTAGGCTTGAAATCAAATTTTCTAAGACAAAGTCTAAAATTATTTTGTGCTGTACATGGTGACCAAACAAAATTGTTCAATTAACCTAATCATAACTGTTAAGAGTTCAGTGAATGTTGCTACCTCCAGAGGCTTTTAATCCACAAACCCTTGCTTGACTTGCTTCCCTAAAAAATTCCTCCCCAGACATGACTAATAAATAGAAAAGGTTATCCCTTCATCAAAATTGAATGATTTATACGAATTTTGACAATACAAGATGACTACTTGATCCAATAACTGAATCGGGATAAATTTTGTCAAAAATGTTATTTTAACTACCGTTATTTTTGTATTTCTTTTTTATAATTTTTACACATTCAGGATCTTGTCTTCAAGGTGTGGCATACCCCCGAAACACACAAAAAAGGTATCTGTAGTAGTTCCTTTAATTGCTTGCATTGAGCTAACATCTTCTCAGCTGTCATCCAATTATCTGACTGAAAATAACTTATATAATTAACAAATGAACTACATCTTTCCTTAGTTTAACCTCTATCAACAATACAGTAATGTTGAAACCCACTATTTGGAACTCTCAGGAGAAACAAAAAATAGCAGGAGTTGGAAATAGTTGTTAGTAACTGACTCAAGGGCAAATCCAAGGGAAAGGGTTTTGAGTTATAAATCATGGGCAATTAATTAGCAGGTCCCAACTAGTTTCACTGCAAAGTTTTTCACTTTTTACTGTGTCCTTATTTCTGTGCTCTGTAAGTGATCTCAGCCCTGTCAAAATATTTTTGTTGTAACAGGAGGTAGGATAACAAGTTTAATCACCAAGGCTAGTGATGGGCTCAATTGAAGTTAAGGTTAACTTCTTAAAAAAGTTGCTAGTGCATGATTTTGTTTTACTAGTTGGGGGAAGTCTTGCAAGTGAACTGTACTTATGAACTTAAGAGTCCCATGCAGAGGAAAATAAACATTGTTTATGATTCCTTCATAGGTGAACCCACTGAAACACCAGAGTCTGCTGGAAGAAGGGTAGACAGCTTTGCCATTGAGCACCGTATTATTGGATCTGTGTCGTTTGATTTGTCACCACTGTTGGCAGGTATGAGGCAATTAATTGGCTGGTACAATGTGACTGATTTCAATGGAGACTGCCAAGGACAGATCAAGGTAACATGAGTTAATCATGATTTTGCTGTCGAGAACTTTTGTACGCTTAATTTTGTCCTGTTGGTAATACAATGTTACTGTCAATCTTATAAAACTGTGGACACCTAAAAGATGTCTGGGTTGTTTATTGTGTTATGACCAATCACAAGCAAGATCTTCAGACCATAGAAACTACAGAAAATGGATGGGTTTCCATCTGATTTTTGGTTTTCGCTTTGTCCTAAGATATACCCTCAATCTTTATATACTAGCTGTGACTTCATACCGAGAGCCACATCCAGTAGATGGTTTGAGAGATTTTGACACACTGAATTGACTAGCTGACGGACGTGACCACTTCTCAGGCAAACAACGGTCAGTTTGACATGGCTACAAATAGGAATTGTAGAAAATATAAAATTATGGCAGTTTTGCCATGCATGGTTACATAACCTTGCTATCATCTTTGCTTATACTAGTGACTCAATTTATTTTTGCAAACAGTTTCANGATGCGAGCGAAACTGGGGAGAGTAGTTTCTCCTCTCCTCCACCCCCACGCTATTAACCCCACCGCCACTACCCACGGGCATTTTGAACTTTCCCCAGTTTTGCTTGCATCAAGAGACCAAGATGGCAGCCCGTCGAGCTCAATGATTAACGTCTACGATCTCACGGAAAAATAAGGGACTGTGAACAGTCTATTTTGATTGTTACTACTACACTACTGTATATGGAAAACTCCCACATAATCCAAGAGAGTTGGTACTGATGAATTTTTCAGATAGTCATCTGGGTTTGGGTTTGATTTTTCTCATATAAACACCCCCTCAGCTATTATTGTGCAGTAGCTGTTGGTTGTCTACAAAATGGCAACATTTTATTGTTTTGGAAAATTTTAGAGGAACATATTGATACAAATGGATAATTAAATTACTGAGAAGATTAAAAGAAGACATTCATTGTTTTATGACAGAGTTGAGCATGTGTACACTGCTGCAATTTCAAATGACAGTTCAGTCTACACTATTAATCTAAATAGTTAAGTTCAATGCTACATAGAGAGATAAATAGAAACTGTTATTTGAAGTAAACTTCATTTAGAATTCTACTAAAGCAAGAGATTATTCACTCCTGATTTCTATGACATTACAGTTGATTTGGCCTTCGGCCTCATCCATTATGACCTTTTAGAAATTGAGAACAAAATTAATAATTGCGTTTGACGAAGTGGAATGCAAACCTAATTTTGACCTGTGGCTTTCCAGAGTTGGTTTACCTGTACACGGTTATAGGCCAAAAAAACCACATTCCTGTAAGGACACCAAAATGGCCACCCCGCTTGATTTTTGCAGGGGTATGTCATAGTTGGTAAACTGGTACCATTAATGCTAAGACATGTGATAAGACATGTGGCAAACATGTGAGTATGTGAGCAGGCCATGTGAGCTCATCTTTCTGATGGATCTTTCTTTGACTTCTTTCCATTCAGTCGCTGTACGCTTCGCTATTATGTGCTCTCAGCGTTAGATTTTGGCGAATTTTTAACGCTTCAACGGTAGCATTTATCGAAATCTGAGGGAATTGTCCTTGTTTATTAACACGACTTGGCTTTGGGATGATAACCGTTGAACAGCTACATTTTGATTGCATTTGTTGATTAGTTCCAGTCGCGACAGATAGCTCAGTCTTTATCTGGTCGAAATTTATTGTTTGGGATCAGTGGAAAAGTACTCTGAAGGCAAGATCCATAAGACTACTTTCTTCATCAGGGGAAATACTCGAATTAGTCGCACGGAGTTTGTTTACAATAAACGACCACATGAAAGGAGCACTTGATTACAAATGCTAGCTTAGAATAATGTACGTGATTTAAATATCCTATGAAACTTGAGAGTCTACAGAAACTGGCGGCATCACGCAACGTATCAGCAAATCGTGACCTCCTCACTAGCATGGACTTTGACACCATGCATACATGTATCTGACTGTAAAACCTCGGTTGCTGCTGAAAAAATTTGATTTTAGCATTAGACAAAGGTTCAAAGTCAGCTAGTGAAATCATTTATTTACGATATATATATATTAAAGTGAGAGCGTCGAACGCACTCTCATAATCTCTGATTACTACTAGTCTTATTTTTAATTCTAGTATAGATCATTAGAAATTGATAAACGCACTCTTGTTCTGCTGGTGCATCCGGTAGCATTTTTCGTAGACCTCAAGTGCACATGATTATTTTCTTAGGGAATACAACACACCATTTTATATTGTCAGTAACTGCTACAGTAATGAAACATTTATAGCTGTTCTTCCTTTGATATCTTTTAAAACACTTAGTAGAGGTGATGGTTCACAACAAGTTCCACCTTGTTTTACACTGAAGAAACTTCTGTTAGCACACAACAAGTCCTTATGCCACTGTAGTGTTTCACGGTCAATGAAACGTCTGGATTTAAACGAAATAAGTGCACGCAATACAGATTCAACTCAACACTTGACCATGTACTTTTAATCATACCATAATTCATTTCGGCCATACACGATTACATCATCGATACCACAATCTCTCCCTTTTTCAAATAAATTGTCCAGTCCAATTTCTTAATTAAACAAAATAACAATACATACTATAACCTTTTCGAAATGGCTACTGACTCAAAGAAAAGTGCTCCAATGTCCAGGACGTAAATCTATACAAAAATGGCATACTTATGACGGTGCAATGTCCTTCTCAAGAAATGTCCATCATGTAAACAAGTCTTAAGGGAGTTCATAATCTTTTAGCCTCTCAGGTTGCCAGTTGCCCCTGGGCCGTGACGTGTAATGCTGAGTTGAAACTCTTGATTCCTCTTCCTGACTAGTTTCTGGGTCTAAATAATATTCATTTAGGATTGCTGACTGCTGTTTCTTGTGATTTATCCTCCTCATACTTCTGTAGGTGAGTAACATTTCTTTTGTAAGAGGACGCCAGCAGGAGACTTCATTTCCACATAACCTCCTTGTTTGTTGACCACCTCATAGGGTGTGGCTTCAAATATTGGTTACAGCTTGTCTGACTTCGGTTTCTGAAGAAGAACTTTATCTCCTTTCAGGTTAGAATCACGAGCACCTCTCAAATTATCAGTATAGTCTTTACCCTTTTGCTTTCTTTTAGGATCTCTGTCCAAAACTTCACTGTCATTACTAGCTGAGGGCAACTCTTCCAAACCTGGGAGCTTTGAGCAAATCTCTCTTGCAGATAACAATTTACCAAGACTCACTCCAGTAGTTGTATGTGGTGTGCTTCTGTAACCGAGCAAGAATTTCTGCAATTACATTCGCCAGTGCTAGATTTTTAGCACAGAGGGCCACTAGTTAAGCAGTTTATACTGTCATATGTCACCCTCTCTAATTAAAGTTGATTGATTGGGTCACATCCCTTGCTGTGCGCAACCCACGTAGCTTTCAGCAGACTCCTATTTTGTCTCTCTATCTCACCATTGGCTTGTGGCCACAATGGGGTTGATGTTCTGTGTTCGATGTTGTTGTCTTTGAGGTAGGCTTCAAATTCTTCTGACACAAATTGTGGACCATTGTCTGTTTTTATTGACACAGGTAGTCCATGAGTAGCTAACATTGCTTCCAGACAGCTAATTATTTTGCCAGATGTCACTGATTTGGTTACAGTTACTTCAAAGAATGGACTAAAATAATCAACAACCACCAGTAGAAATTCACTCATTGGAAGGGGTCGTAGCAGCTCTGCTGCGAGGTTTTGCTATGGCTGTGTAGGCAATTCTGTTCTCTTCATTGATCCTGGGGGCAATGGTTTACCAACAAGCTGGCAACCATGACATGTTCTGCACCTCTATTCTGCTTGACGGTCTATACTGGGCCAACATACCTCGGTACGGAGTCTTTGCTTGGTCTTAACAATCCCCTGATGGCCTTCATGTGCCAGATCCAGTACTTGCCTGCAAAGTTTCTTCAGAATGACTAATCTTGTTCCTCCCTAAACTATCTTTCCTAGCACAGTTAACTTGTTTCTCACAGCTTTAAAGCTGTTTCACCAGCAGTCCAATCATTGGTCTGAACACACTTCCTTGACACTGCAATTTCTTCATCTTCAGCAGATGCTTCTTCGATTTCCTGGATAGGTATAGCTCTGGGGGCTGCATTCTCTACAACATACTGAATGTATTCTTCTGCCACATTTTTGCTTTCATTTGAAACTTCTTGGGTTAGGGGAGACAAGCATCAGGTGTGTTCTGTGGGCCTGAACGATACATCACTGTGAACTCATGGCTGAGGTCATAAGACCCATCGTTCAATTCTCGCAGAAGGCTGAGATTTACTTGAATAGATCAAGTGGTTCGTGATCAGTTTCTAACTCCAATGTTTTCCATATAGATAAGCATGAAACCTTTCACATGTCCAGACTAAAGCTAGAGCTTCTCATTCTGTTTGAGAATATCTTCTTTCAACTGCCGTTAGCCTTCTGCTTGCGTAGAATACTGGTCTCCATTTGCCATTTTGCTCTTGAACAAGAACAGCACCTAGTCCTACCTGACTTGCATCAGCAATGACTCTTGTTTTGGCATCCTTGTTAAGTAGGCTAATGTTTCAGCACTTGCTAGTGTTTCCTTCAGATCTTTGAACGCTTCTTGTTGTTTCTCATCCCATTTGAATATTACACCTTTTTGTGTCAGCTGTCAAAGTGGTTCTGCAGCTGTGGCCAGATTTGGAATGAATTTTGCACTGGAATTCACAACTCCCATAAAACTTCTCACTTCTGCTACAGACTCAGGTTCTCTGGCATGGGCTACTGCTTCAACTTTGGATTTTGTCAGTCCAATACCACGTGTGGACAAGAGATATCTCGTGAATTCTAGCTGGGGCATCTTAAACTTGCTTTTCTCACCATTCAAGGTCAAACAATTTTAGTATTTGAAAACAGCAAAATTGAAGATTTGTCATGGAAGAAAAAGCCAGCTCGTTGTTGCGTGTCGAGTTGTGACCAAATCATGTTGCGATTTAACAGTTACGTTTTGCAGTTTCATCTCACATCTGATTGGTCGCGAAACAATAAACATTCCAGAAATTTTCTCTGGTGTTCACAGTTTTACAGGAAAGATTGTAGCCACTTTTTTCTGACTGCATGACGTTTAGCTGTCTTACTGGGAACAGTTCCATTGAAGATCTAATAAATTAAGCTACTGTTCGAATTGTTAAAATCACGTCTTGATAAAATTAGGCTTGAAATCAAATTTTCTAAGACAAAGTCTAAAATTATTTTGTGCTGTACATGGTGACCAAACAAAATTGTTCAATTAACCTAATCATAACTGTTAAGAGTTCAGTGAATGTTGCTACCTCCAGAGGCTTTTAATCCACAAACCCTTGCTTGACTTGCTTCCCTAAAAAATTCCTCCCCAGACATGACTAATAAATAGAAAAGGTTATCCCTTCATCAAAATTGAATGATTTATACGAATTTTGACAATACAAGATGACTACTTGATCCAATAACTGAATCTGGATAAATTTTGTCAAAAATGTTATTTTAACTACCGTTATTTTTGTATTTCTTTTTTATAATTTTTACACTTTCAGGATCTTGTCTTCAAGGTGTGGCATACCCCCGAAACACACAAAAAAGGTATCTGTAGTAGTTCCTTTAATTGCTTGCATTGAGCTAACATCTTCTCAGCTGTCATCCAATTATCTGACTGAAAATAACTTATATAATTAACAAATGAACTACATCTTTCCTTAGTTTAACCTCTATCAACAATACAGTAATGTTGAAACCCACTATTTGGAACTCTCAGGAGAAACAAAAAATAGCAGGAGTTGGAAATAGTTGTTAGTAACTGACTCAAGGGCAAATCCAAGGGAAAGGGTTTTGAGTTATAAATCATGGGCAATTAATTAGCAGGTCCCAACTAGTTTCACTGCAAAGTTTTTCACTTTTTACTGTGTCCTTATTTCTGTGCTCTGTAAGTGATCTCAGCCCTGTCAAAATATTTTTGTTGTAACAGGAGGTAGGATAACAAGTTTAATCACCAAGGCTAGTGATGGGCTCAATTGAAGTTAAGGTTAACTTCTTAAAAAAGTTGCTAGTGCATGATTTTGTTTTACTAGTTGGGGGAAGTCTTGCAAGTGAACTGTACTTATGAACTTAAGAGTCCCATGCAGAGGAAAATAAACATTGTTTATGATTCCTTCATAGGTGAACCCACTGAAACACCAGAGTCTGCTGGAAGAAGGGTAGACAGCTTTGCCATTGAGCACCGTATTATTGGATCTGTGTCGTTTGATTTGTCACCACTGTTGGCAGGTATGAGGCAATTAATTGGCTGGTACAATGTGACTGATTTCAATGGAGACTGCCAAGGACAGATCAAGGTAACATGAGTTAATCATGATTTTGCTGTCGAGAACTTTTGTACGCTTAATTTTGTCCTGTTGGTAATACAATGTTACTGTCAATCTTATAAAACTGTGGACACCTAAAAGATGTCTGGGTTGTTTATTGTGTTATGACCAATCACAAGCAAGATCTTCAGACCATAGAAACTACAGAAAATGGATGGGTTTCCATCTGATTTTTGGTTTTCGCTTTGTCCTAAGATATACCCTCAATCTTTATATACTAGCTGTGACTTCATACCGAGAGCCACATCCAGTAGATGGTTTGAGAGATTTTGACACACTGAATTGACTAGCTGACGGACGTGACCACTTCTCAGGCAAACAACGGTCAGTTTGACATGGCTACAAATAGGAATTGTAGAAAATATAAAATTATGGCAGTTTTGCCATGCATGGTTACATAACCTTGCTATCATCTTTGCTTATACTAGTGACTCAATTTATTTTTGCAAACAGTTTCAATCCTTTAGGCATGCATGTAGACTAGTTTAGTGATCAAAGACCTTGAACAGCCTGACAGCAGTAACTTCAAATGTTTGTTAATGTTGGAATAGGTCTTTGCTAACAGTTAACACCCAATTTTTGTTATTACTTCCCAAATGAATTTGTACTCGATTTACACAATACAAAACCTTATGCAAAGACTTCTATTTATGTCAATATTCATCATCGCTTTTCAAACTAATGGCACTATCTGTTTAGCATCTATAATCAGGCAATCAGGCAGTACAACTGATTTGCATCGTTTGTGCTTGAGTGATTCCGCTGCTGGTTGCGCTTGTAAAAATTGTTTTTTCATGTTACTGTGCAAGTCAAAATACTGTGAATGCCTTAATTTTATTCTGACAGGTCAATAATTGTGTATACTGACCAACCATGTTAAAAATCAGGACACATGAGCAAACCTCAAAACCACAAAAGAATAGATCAATTTCGATATATTAAAATTCAGCCTAACATAATTGACCTCAGCATGAGGCTCTGGATAATAACTACACAGTTTGTGGGGTTTATTCCCAAGAGCCTTGTACTGAGGTCTAATGTGTTAGGCTGAATTTTAATATATCGAAATTGGTCTATTACCATTGTTGTTTGTTGTTTCTTACGGTTTTCTGAGTTTCACATTAAAAGCACCCAAACCCTCTTCATTAGTGTTTACCTAACTTTCTGTATAACAAAGAAAGAGCTCATGAATTGAAACAAAGCAAGTTGTTTTCTTGACTGATGGGTTTTTCCATTTTCTCTGTTGTCTGAAGATCACACTTGAGATTGGTTTCAACACGATAAACATTCCAGACAGTCTTCATTTGTTCACTGTTTTATAAGTTTGACAGTAAATGTGGAAATTAAATGTAAGATTATTTTCACAAAAAAAAATATATGAGACAGGGGGACTTGAGGGGATTGTCATTCCAAGTAATAAGTGCCTGTTATTTTAAAATAGGAGAAAAATGCAACCTTTGTGCCAGGGGTGGGGGAGAACACTCTGCGACGCCTGGCACTTTTTGTGTATCTGAATCATCCAACAAAAAATGATGTCACA